ATAAGAAAAAAATTAATATTATTTTTTATTATTTCTATTTCTTCCCTTTTTTCCACCCTATATCTCAAAATCTCTTATTCCATCCATATTTCTATTACTTTAGTTAATTAAAAATAGTGATAAATCATATAAAATCTAACCAACTATAAATAAACCCACCAAAATATATATAGCATTCCAATAAATCATATAAACACATATATATCTTAATAAACAAAATAATTTAAAAACTGAGGTGTTGCATACAGGGGCGGATCCAGACTTTATATATTGGTGTGGCTAAACATAAAAGAAATTATCGACTAAAATATATTGAAAATAAAAAATAATATTATTTGATGAAGTGTATTTACAATGCAAAATGGTGGGGTTATTGGATTAATGAGAGAAAGAGACAAATATGGAAGTTGGTGGGGTTTGAGAAGAAGAGAAAGGGTTTACTGTGTGAGAGAGAAAGAAATAAAAGAGAGAGAAAATTAAGAGATAAAAGTGAGTTGAAGAGTTATATAATATTAAATATTAAAATTAATTAATTAATTAAATATATATTAATATTAAAAATATAAAAAAAATCTGGTGTGGCTATAGCCACACCTAGCCTAAACGTACATCCGCCCCTGGTTGCATACACAGTTGCTCAAACATTTCGATAAAGAAGGTAAGGCACGCTAAGAGGCGATCCATATTTTTTTATATACTAGTGAGGTATTAATACTCATTACGTTAGATTAATTGATTTTTGTGTGTAAACAAAACAAAGTTGGGCTAAGATGTACATTTGACACGAACGAAAAAGGCTAGAGAAATCACTAGTGATGGAGAAACGGGTACGAACCGTTGGGCATATCCATTTTGACCACACTTTTTACGAGGAGGACCAAGTTATTGTTAGAACAAGTTTGGTTCATCAACTAATCTTTGGAGTATTGATGATAACAAGTACAAGTGTATGAAGAACAATTTTTTCTCTAACGTTTGTTCAATGTGCAGATCCAAAAGAAAGCAACCCTGACTCTAAAGGAGTTAAGTTGAAATGCACCAGATGTTGAGCTAAGCACATGTGAGTACTACAAATAACGCTTGTAATGTCGGACGCGAAATGCGTTTTACCTCAGTTACCCGGGCGAGGTAAATAAGGTAGTCATGAAAAATATCCACTTAACACCTCGGTGTTTTAAACACCAAGGGTTTAATTGAAAATGTTAAAGGTCTGATCCCTCAGTACTACATATTTTTATTTTCTACATTTCTTTGCGCCAGCCATATAGCTGCCGGTTTTATTTATAATTCGAGGTAATGAGGTATTCATTAACTCGGTTTTATGTTATAACCGAGGGGTTTAAAATGAAGATTTCTGACTATATTTTCAATTTCATTGGCCTATATCACTTTCAATGGCATGTATCATATAATTACAATAAATCTATTAATCTTCAAGTATGAAATATATAACATAATTGGAATATATATATATATATATATATATATATATATATATATATATATATATATATATATATATATATATATATATATATATATATATATATATATATATATATATATATATATATATATATATATATATATATATATATATATATATATATATATATATATATATATATATATATATATATATCATATCATTTTAAACCAAAATGTGAAAATTTACATCAAGAGAGAATATACTATTTGACATGATCATATATGCACATCAAAATGACAAAACATCTATTCATATACAAAATAAAATTATAGCAACCAAGAAAAACTATCTTTGTGGTTGTCCAGTTTTATAATGAGATAAGAAGACATTGGTCCAACGTGATCGGATGTCATCAATATCTTTTATTGAGTATGGTGTTTGGATGCTAAACTCCTACAATTAGAACAAAATTTAAACTATGATAAACTAAAAACAACAAAATTAGTTTAAGAAGTATACATATGTATACTTGGATTAAGCTAATATCTTGTTCTTCATCCATCCATGTGTAATATCTCCGGAGAAAATATGGAGCATATATCTCATAACATAATATCCATAAGAATGGGTGTCAGTTTGTTTTCGCCACTACAGTTAATTTTCATTCATTAATGTCACACTAATACACAAATAATATAATGTCAAAAAGCACAATTACTATACTTACTTTTAGGTAAAGATGGACTGGCTTTTTAACCATGAGATTTTTTTTCTGTGCATTAAATTCCTCCATCGTTCTACACATGTCGATTAAAATTAAACTTGAATAAAAACTATTCAATTCTAAAGTAAAATTTGAGTATAAGAAATAATACCACTTACTCACTCAAAGCGTTCACCATAACATTGGGCAGTGTCGAGTCCACCGAGCAAAACACAATTATATTATTTCTCTTGGGACATATAATAAGTAGTTGCCAATGTCCCCTATGTAAACATTCAAAATAATTAATAATATGGACAACATTGATTTATAAATGAAAATATAACTTAAAATATACTTACTCGCGGTAAAACGGGGCAAAATAACAATCTTTGATGCTCCATTTCTCCATCAACTTTTCTTGCAAGTACATTTTGATTTCGTGTTCTGGAGAACTGCGAGTAAGAGCAATCCTCGCAACATCTAAGATACAATACTTACTTAGAAGCTTCATTTCAACATAGACCTCATGGATGTCCTGCAAGGTCAAATATTTATGTTAAAGTATAAGAACGTATGAATAAAAACAGAAATCAACATAAAACTATACTTATGAGCTCCAAATTTGCAAAATGAAATTTTCTAGTTCCTCATATCCCTTCAAAAATTCATGTATGGAAGACTTGTTAAGAAAGAACAATTGTTGTGGATCATGCCTTAATTGAATATCCATAATTATGCTTTCAATACTCGGTATATCAACTCTAGTCTTTGAAGGCTATCTTGATTTGGTGGTGGTGCGGGTTCAACACTGCCCTGGTTAACAGAAAAACTATGTGTCGCGCTTGTACCACCCATAATCTTCTCAAGTAAATTCTCTCGAATTTCCAACTGATTTGAATTTGTGTGGCTGAATATACCCAACGAACTCAAATTCTGCATCATAAAAACAACATAAATACAACCCAAAATTGAAATACACAAACAATAATAACAACATACAACTTATACCTCAAGAATATTGCGGGTACACTTCTCAGACACCTTCTCCTCATTCATCCTCGCTCGCTCCTTTTGCTCCTTTTGGACACTCTCCCGCATAGTATGCAACAACTTCTCCCTCTCCTCCTCCAATAATTTCTCCTACACTGTTTGCAACAACCTCTCTCTCTCATCCTCCAAGAATTTCTCCCACGCTGTCTGCAACCAAATCTCCCTCTCCTCCTTCGAGAACCTATCATGCTCCTCCTTCCACTTTTCCATGGCCTTCCCCAACTCAAAAATAACAATCTCTTGAACCTCTTCCTTATTTATTTTCTCGCTAGATGATTTAGAGTGTCCAAAATGTACCTTAAAGCCAACACCTCTACCAAGTCCACAGACACACTCAAGAAGCTCCTCAATTTCGATTGCATCTACCAGGATGTCATGACGACCTTGTGAAGTGAAGAGGCTTGCCTTGGTTTGTTCAACAAGATCATCCTATAAAACATGAAATTTCGTCTTTACCAAATTGATTTGACTAAAATAAATATTGTTGAATAAAATATCTACTTATAATCCTTTGAGCCACTTCGTGTGTAACATCGGATGTGTATTCATTGTCTTTTATTTGGTGTTCCCTCTTCCATTTCTCGTGGCGTGATGGTGGAGATGGATTGCGATCAAGACTTATAGGATCTTCCTGCTCTTCATCCCTTTTTTTCTTTTTTCGTCCATCAAAATTTTTTCAAGTCTTTTATATCCTCCACGAGGTAGCCTATGTGGATAGATATTTCTAGCTCGATTTTACTTTCCTTTTTGACCCTTTGCTAAGAAGGCAGGAGTCGTGAGAGGCTCTATAAATTTCTCCCAAGTAGCTTGATCAATAAATGAATACACCTCGTATGAAGCCCGTTCTTTATCTTCTCCATGTTTAATATAATAACGGGTGAGGTGTGCCATAAACCCCCTCCTTAGAAAAATCACAGACAACAGGCAACCAACCTATAGTTTGCTTCTCACTGAGATTCAACATTTCCAACAAAGAAAACAACACAGCACCATCTTGCCCAGACTTATTCACTTTACATATTATCAAGCTAGCAAGACAAGCTTGTCTCATCCAATATGACCCCATCTACTATCAACAATAGATTAAGGGTGATTAGCTCCTCAATTTGTCAATAGGTAGCCGACAACCATAATAGAGCATAAACTATTATTACCAAACTATAATAGTGTCTCTCTTATGCTCAGAGTCACCTAAAGCACCATGGTCCAATTCTTCACACCATAAACATCTCAGGAAAGCAAAGTTTCTCCCCCACTTGTTTTAAACCCACTCCTGCAACCATGTAGCTAGAAAAATAAGCAAGTATCGACAGTGTTTCACACACATGTCGCGTACTAAGGAACAAACAATATTAGATAACCTGGCCGGACGGACCGACCTTCTCTAATACCTCTAATGTAACACCCATTTTTAACTCCAAATAATTTATAACATAATCAGAGTAAAATAACATGCATAATGCAAAAGGGTGTCACATGTGTTTACAAAAAAACCACAAACAATATCAACATACACCTGGTCATAATCATAACACATATTTAAACTTCATGTTTCCACAAACTATGCACATCACAACGGAATAATTCTTTACTCAATTAACAATAATGGTTATATCCTATACTATAATCATAAGCCAACATAACAACCAATTCATAACATAACAAGTCATATGAATCCAAATATTGGGCACCAAGGCCACTCAACATACAAATAACAAATACGAGAGTATAACAATATCTCTAACCAACAAACATGAGTTCAAAACACCCCCCCCCCCCCCTTAGTGTTAAATGACCAGAGCATTAACTCACTACCTAGAAAAGTGAATAGACCGAACTAAGCTCCTCAACTATCCTCATGCGAAGCACCATTATCTCTGGTACCTGTGCGATATCGCATAGAACATCATTCCAATAGAAGGGTCAAAACTTAAATCATTACATAAATATATATAATAAGGAGTAATGTATAACAACATTCATCAAAAGAATTCTCCATACTTCATATGATCATTGTTGTAAGTGGTTTTTAATAGAGTCGCCACCCTTAATTTTTATCCTAGGCCTGACTCAGTTCTAGATGAAGGGAAAGTGTTAGGCACCCCTCATCTATCTTGTTCACGGGGATACTAGGTTTAGAATCACGATTTTTAGGAAAAAGGGTTTTTATATTTTATTAGGGGAATTCGCCACGATTTTAATCATATGTCTACGTATCCTCTTAGGAGGAATCAGAGTCCCAATTAGTAGTTCGCGATTGTTTTGTGTTTTTAATGGATTGCGTAGAATTGCTTTCGAATTTATCCTTGAACCTTGTCTGGGTTGTAAATTGAGTGAGCGTAGACGTAGTTCATAGTTAAATTTGAAACTAATTCTCCTTAATATTTTTTCGAACATATCTTGTAGTTTGATTATGTTAGTAGAAAAAGTTTGATGTTGGTTAATTATTTTGATGTTCGATCGATCGAGTATGGTAGGGCGTAGAGCGGGGGAAGAGGGGGGATCTGACATAGTCTCCTTATCACGTGGCTAGATATTGGTCACATGTCATTCGCAGATGGAGTATTTGGTAAGTTGTGTGGGTTTTAATATTTTGATGTAAAATATTAAATTAATTTAATTTTAAAAAATATATTTAAATTAATAGATTTAAATAAATAATCTAATCAATTTTTGTGTGTTTTTGGAATCTTATTGTATATTTAGAATGTCTAAATAACCTAGATTAAAATCAACTAAATCAAAATAGATAAAATTAAATGGTAATCAAAAGAAATAGTCTAAGCTTAATAAAATATGAGTGTTAAGATGAGTTTAAGGGGTTAAACCCAATAAAATACAAAGCTCATTTAAAGTAGATCTAAAATAAACTCTAATTACTAATAACAAGAATAGATATTAATGACATAAAAAGAAAAATATAGCAACCCTATTTAGAGTGTCTCCTCCATCCACACATATACACATATTTACAATTTTAAATAAAATGATAAAAACAATATCAGATTATAAGGTAACATAAGTGACCCATAGAAATTAGATAAATGTCATTGAAAATTAAATAAATAAAAACCAAATACCACACATATTATACACTCACAGATAAGAACATCCACATCCATCATACTCATTTGAGTTCTTTAAATGAGACTCGCATAATTTTTTTTATTATTTCACACTTCTCAATTTTTTAAACAACCCATCTACAATTCTCAAATATTCTTGTAACTCATCAAAAAATCTAAAATGGGTCACATATTTAAAACAAATAACTACATTACATTCTTGCAATTTTATTTATTAATTTATTATTATTACTCACTTAATTTTATTTATTAATTTATTATTATTACCCACTTAATTGGAGTGTAGAAGGCGTGCTTTAGTTTAGTAAAGTGAAAACAAGTGAAATATCAATTTATTATTGACACAATTTCTTTAATAAATGTGTATCCCTTTCTTTTCACAACCTCTCTCTAACAACACAAAAACCAGTTTCATCTCTTTAATCTCAATCTTAAAAAAATAGCAGGAGATATAACACCATATACACAACATTTATCTTCTCATTTTCAATATGAGCAACAAACACCATCACATCAGATTCATCAATCAATGAATTAATTCTTCTTCAATCACAACCAAAACCAACATATAGAAGCAAAAATCAAACCCAAATCGCAACAATAAAAGGGATAACTGGAAGAAAAAAATAGATACCGACAGCGGAAAAGGAGATTTGTGTGGTGATGTTGACGTCATGCTAATCGGAACCGCGCTAGGAGTGGGTAGTGGCGATTGGAGGAATGGCGGTGGACGGGAAGACCGACTGGTGTGTACAGTGGGATCCACAGAGTGATGCGGCGCAATTATTGCTTTTTTTCGACCTTCTTTTCCTTTTTTTTGATTCAAAACATTGTTTCTTTTCTTCTTTCTTCCTGAAAAAAAAAATTGTATCAATTGGAGTTTGATTTATGGGATTGAAGGTAAGTGATGGATTGTATGCAACTTGATTGTTTCTGGTGTGTTATGACAAAAACAGAGGGTGATAGAATTGGAGTTTAGAACAAAACCATTAGCAAACGTTTCTTCTATGTAAAGTTGAATATGCTAAAACCAAGATCAACTGAATCAAAGGGGTGGAACAATTTGGTAACACTTGTTTATATGTTAATGGTTAACAAGGGTTGATTTCTGTATGGAAAAAATATAATGAGAATGAATATTTGAATATAAGTTTGATAAGGTTTATAGTTTATGAGAAAATTGGTTGTAAAATTTTTTTTTGTGAAATTTGTTTGGAGAAGATACTGGTTTATTGGTGGGAGAATAGTGTACTTACAAAGGTAAATAGGAAAATCTGTACGCTAATGACATATACAATGCTATTTGGAAATTGTTGATAGATAGTGAATAAAAAGATGAGTATAATTTGTACGTGAATGAGTTTAGAAAATATATACGAGGCATGAAATCGTGAATGTTAATGGCTTCCGTAAAAGTGTTAATAAGAAAAATATTAATAATAAATACAAACCATCAGATATTCATCACAGTTAAAATAACAAATAAGTTAAAAAAATAAAATTGAAAAAATAAGGGTGGGACCTCATATAGAAATTTTTGGCCAAGAATAGTTGTTGGGTTTAAAAGTGTCTCACACGAGATTTGAATCTACACAACCTCATACTTACAAGCTTTATTCCTTATCAATTGTACTATGTTACTCATTTGTAAATAAACTCAATTGAAAGTATATAAAAGGTTAAACAAATCTTTATTTTTTCAAAAATATAAATGATCTGAAATAAATCGTTATATTTTTAAATAGGTTTGGAAGCGGATAATTAAATAATATTATAAAAATAATATTTAAAATATTTTTTACTGTAGAAATAAAGGACGGAAAAATTTGGGGTATGACAATCATCCATATAACATAACTTGACAATTTAAGTATCAAAGAAATTAATATAGAAATATTACAAGTATATGAATACATGTATTGCTCGTATATAGCACAAATACCACCAACGTAACATTCATGTACAATTTACCAATTATCACATAATGTAATTCAAAACAATATCATATAATGACTCATGAGACTTCCAATGCAACTCAATGCGACTCATGTATATGGTACCAACATGAACATCAAGCTCACCTTGCTCTCGATTCCATATCTAGAATTAGAGTCACACTTTCGATCCGGACAAGTTCAAAGCCTATTATTATGAACATATAGTCCACCGCTTCTATTTCTACACAAGGATCAAAGCAACCATCATTAAGAACATATAGATCACTGCTTCTATTTCCACACAAGGATCAAACCGACCATCATTGTGAACATATAGTCCACCACTTCTATTTCCACACAAGGATCAAAGCAACCAATCAGAGTTCGATCTCCCCATGAATGCATGTGCAATTTCCAATAAACAAATGCAATTAAGACCATCTCAATATCTTAATCATCCAAGCATATCATGATAATTCAACATATTGAATACAATTGCACAAAACATCATCACAACTTACAAATAAGATATAGCATATAAGTGTTGGCTCCTAAATTCGACACCCTTGTTTCATTAATGTCAGCCATTAAAGCTGAAGGATGTTTTCGACTAGCTAGGTCCGTCGAAATGCCCATCGAAAGATGGCAAGGTACTTAGAAGATTTCTTCCAAGGGAGAAGTTGGTTGCCTTCGACGTCGAAGGTGTTTCTCGTCGAAGATGCTTCTCGACGAAGGGGTTCGATGGTTCATAGTGGAACGGTTTGAAATTCAAGCGTTTGGAGGGAAAACGGTTTCCAGCGGTTACCAAGTGCAACGTGCAAAGATCTGGAGCGTCGAACGTTGAGAACGTGCCAAGTGGAATCATCTCGAAGCAGTGTAACTGCCCGACGGTTACTTGGGATGTTTTAGTATAAATAGTAGTAGTCATGTAGTTTCTCGCGTGTGTTCACAATTCTATACAAAGTCACTCATATAGATTCGAGTACCCAGCGTGTGAGAAAGAATTGTTGAGAAATGTATGTGTGAAACACCAACTTTATTAATCAAAGTCATTTACTTTTTCCAGAAATTTACTTGCTTTCTTCTTTACATTCCTGTCGAAGCCCTTTATTTAAAAGCCTTATTTATCTTACCAAGTCCTTTCTTCATGCAATTTACTTAAAGCCTCTTTATTTTATTGTCATTTAACCAATATCCAATTTAATCAAAACTTCAAAATCAACCTATGTCCTAGGATCAATCTGATCGATCCTGCGAGTAACCAAATAAGTAACCATTTGGAGGATCAGCGGTTGTTTACCAATAACCAAGGTAAACAAATTGGCACACCTGGTGGAACTGTGTGTTGATTGTTGAAAATAATCTCATCCTTTTCAAGGAGTGTTGTATGTTATTGAGAAGTGGTAGAATATACACTAACGATAACAATACTGCCAGAAGAAGGGAAGAGATGGCGAATCCGCCAAACAATAACGAAATCCCACAAACGAATGTGGGAGCAACGGTTAGCACGACCGTAAGTGAAGCGACAACTGTTGGTTCGACACCAGCAGTAACGGTCACAGCAACGGGGCCATTACTCTCGTTCACGGGCCCCAGGATGCCTTTGGGAACTCCCCCACCAAGGGGAAATTTAGGCACAAGGCCTTTTGTTCCCCCAGGATTTATGCCGCTCTATGGCATGCCAACTTCTGACTTGGCTATCCTGACGAATGCTGCGTCCACTTTTTCAGACCCTTTAGTGAGTGCCTCTTCGCCACTCCAAGGCTCTGGAGTAGGCATGGCGAATAGAAATAGGACCCAACTCTTAGGAGGAACGTCCCAAGTAGCCCATGGCCTTACAAATGCCTCGACAGCAGTCTTGAGGCAACAAATGGACGAAAGCAACCATGATATGGTGCAAATGTTGGCACAAACTTTGAGTACAGTGCTAAACCCTCTAATACAAACCACTACTCAATCGAATCAGCAAGTGACAGCGCAAATGACGCGTTTGGCTGATTTCTTTGGAGTACCCCAACCTATTCGACAGCCCCAAAGGGCGCAAATAAGAGGAAACCAGGGGATATTCTTAGAGGAAGAAACCACCATCAACCAGGTTCAACAGCCTGTCGAAGAAAACCTTAGGGCACGATTGGAGCAACCCGTCGAGGAACCTAGGGTAATAACCCCAGAGGTAAGGTTAGTTAACAGAAACCAAAATGCTGACGAAGTAGTTCAGCATATCCAATACCAAAATACGGGTTTGGAAAATAATCTGGCAACCATGATCGAAAGGATCATGACTCAGAATGGGATGAACATGGGCTTTCGAAGGCCCAACTTTACATCCCCATTATCAGAATACGTGTTACAAACAGACTTACCTCCTAGATGTAAAGTCCCCAAATTCACTAAGTTCTCTGGGGACACGACAGAATCTACTGTCGAACACGTGGCGAGGTACTTGATCGAAGCAGGAGATATTTCGAATAACGAAAACCTGAGGATCAAGTACTTCCCAAGTTCTTTAACAAAGAACGCTTTTACTTGGTTTACAACTCTCCACCCCAATTCGATCCATCATTGGACCCAGTTGGAAAGATTGTTCCATGAACAATTCTACATGAGGCAAACCAAGATAAGCCTGAAAGAATTGGCCAGTGTGAAGAGACGTTTCACTGAACCTATAGATGAATATCTAAATAGGTTTAGGTTGCTCAAGGCGAGATGTTTTACACAAGTGCCAGAACATGAGTTAGTCGAAATAGCCGCAGGCGGTTTGGATTATTCCATTAGGAAGAAGCTAGACACCCAATACCTGAGAGACATGGCCCAACTGGCCGATAGAGTTCGACAGGTAGAACGCCTCAAAGCTGAAAAAGCAAAGGCAACGAAAACTCACAAGAGAGAGAGGATAGCGTACGTTGAGATGGATGACGAAGATCCGGAATCCTTCGACGATACTTTAGCTGTCGAAGAAGGAGAATTCGATTTAGCGGAACTGAAACAAGGGCCACCATACTCTTGTAAACTGTTAGTCCCCTCAAGTGGGAAAAATCCCATTGGTCCAGAAAGGACCAACGATAGATTCCCCAAAAAGACTTATAGTTTTGACATCACAAAATGTGATGAAATATTTGACTTGCTTGTTAAAGATGGCCAAATGATAGTACCCCCAGGGGTAAAAGTGCCTCCTCTTGATCAAAGAAAGAAGAGAGGTTTTTGCAAATATCATAATTTTTTGGACCATAAAACTTCTCAATGTTTTCTTTTCAGGAATCTTGTGCAAGACGCTATCGAAGAAGGGAGGTTGAAGTTTGCTGACAAAACCCCCATGGCTGTCGACTCAAATCCATTGCAGGCTGAAGCCCACTATGCTGAGCCTTCTGAGGTGAACGTGATAGAGGCAACTAGGAGCCAGTCGAAGAGGCCAGGAATCACAATGGTCGAAGTCTCAAAGGACCATATCAACATGCCAATCTTTGGCAGTTTTTCTGGAAACTTATCCAGGAAGACAATTGAAGCAGTTCAGAAAGCGGTCGAAAGCCCAAAGTTGGAGGCCGCTGAAGCACAAAAAACTGGACCAAAACCCAGTTCCCACTTGGCCACAGTTCAAGGCCAGACGGAGAATCTGGAAATACAAATGAAGCAGTTAACTCTTGCCAACAAAGATACAATGAATATCAACATGGTCGAACTCTCTGACCCAAAAGCATCAGAAGAGACCATGAGGCAAGAACAAGCTAATAAGACTGCCTTCCCTCGGGAAAATGAAAATCTGGCAGATTTTCTACAAAGATGCCAGAAAAAGAAATCAGAGGTGATGCTGTGTCCAAGATGCAGTTCGATCTTTGACAAAAAAGCTGCTGAGCACATTCAAGGCGTAAGAGCAGCGAATAAGAGAAGGGAAAATGTTGATCTTCGACATGACCCCAAAAAAGCCTCCCAAAGAGGTTCAAACCAAGAAAAGAGGCCATTGACTTTCAGGCCTCCAACAAATGTGTCGGTAGATACCTGGTACAAAACCTCTGGTCGAAAAAGGCCAAGTGAGGAGAGATGGCACTCTTTCGACGTGCCAAGGGGTTCCTCTTTGACTCAAAAGAAAGAGCCTCAAGTTGCTGCACCTAAAGTTGCACAAGTGTCAAGCAACTACAAAGGAAAAAATCCCATGTCTCGATCTCAATGGAGGAGATACCAAAGGAGACGAAAAGCTGAGAGGGAGGCTGCCAACGAACCAAAGGTAGAAACCAGTTCGAATGTTCCTCAAAGGAAGCAAAGGAAACCTCTAGAAAGAGAGCCAGTAACCAACAGGCTCGTTTTGCCTAACCAAGGTGAAGTCGAGGACGAAGATGATTCTGAGTCTGATGATACTTTGGACATAATGGTGAATATAGTCTCAATGCTGCCCAGAGAATTCAACCGACAAGTGGAGGTCGAAGCAAGTGACTGGGAAGTGGAGCAAGAAATGGCCAAACACAGGCCAGTGTGCTATTTTGTCATGGACAATGGCACCACTGAGGAACAAAATGGATTCT